AAGTTTATATATGTATATATAATATATATATGTAACTTAATAAAACAAATATTTATCTCATTACATTTTACTTTGTTAAGAAACTATGTGTGTATTTATATATACACATACACATAATACGATAAACTGTAAAAATAAAAAATGTCAACGAGTATATACATGTGTATACATTAATAAGACGTAATTAATCTTTAAAGATCCAACTATACGCGCACGTGTGCAGTTAGAATTCATAACCGGTATACAAGTGTACGGTTATACGAGTGTTCTTTCACCACAAATGACTTTAATGTAATCTCATTAACAATACTCTGTCTATATGCACTTGTCCACATGTGCATGTTAAAGATAATTTAATTCATCAATCAAATGTACAACTATTTATAGAAAACTATTATCGTTTAATATTTCTTGTAAATAATTCTATACTCACTTTCACAATATATCTCTGACATCAACACTTGCCCGCACCTAGTCTAAATGATCGGTCTCAATTTCAGTAACCGGACTTCTTTTAATATGGAAAAACGACCGGTCGACAATGCGCGCTTGAATGATCAAGCGGCGAGAAGAGTCGGAATCGTGCCCGACGTCCGATACTATACTGGCAGCCGGTCTCCGGAGGATCGGCTCGACTGACCCGATCTGGGTTACCCGGCCATCCGTCTGTCCGTCCCTCTATCCATTCCTTTCCACCTTCCTTGCTCACCACGTTCGTTCATTCGTTCGTTCGTTCCCGCCATTCGGTTTAGGAGTTACCCTTCTTCAAAGAAAGAATTGCAAATATAATCATTAGTCGAGGGGGAAATTTTCTTATTCAATCAACTGAATTCGTCGCAGACCTATAACTGTTGAGAGCACATATTCCACACGAACGATTTCACTTGGCGGTATTTCGGCGAATGTCCAGATCGACGAGTTCAATGAGCCTGCCGAGACGTCGCCCAAAGGCACAGGAGATGATTCTCCAAGACAATTTGCTGATAAATAGATCTTAATAATCGGGGAAAAGGAAGAGAAAGCAAACAAGAGGGCTAAATTATATATGAGGGAATGACCAAAATAAATCTAAGCTGATCTAAGAACTCCCAGTTTAATCTATGTCTTTTCCTTTAAGACTACCTCTGATCAACATTAGCTTTTATATTATTTAAAAGAAATAAGAGAAATATAGAATAAAAATATAATAAAATAAAAAAAAGTATAATACAATAAAAAATCAAAATTTTTTAAACCAATTATTAATGAACCTGTTCATATTCCAAATGAAATCTTTTACATACATACATACATTCTAAACATTTCTACAACTCTTGTAGCAAATACATATAGTCTTTTTTATAGCAACAAGAACAGTTTGATTAATTAAGATTACTCTTTCATATCCGTTTAATTGTTAAGAGTAAAAAGCAGCGATTTTTTAAAATCCCTTTTGTATGATCTACTTTTCATATGAAAACTATCTTCGGTTATGACGTCAGCAAAGATCACTCGTTCAAGTCCAATCAAATTAGTCACGAGTTCAGTCGCGGTTGCACACCTTTACAAACGATTTCTCTTGTGTTTTCTCAGAAATTTATCGATCCCAAATAATGTTTGTGACCTCCGAAAAACTGGTTTACTTGATTTTAGATTCCGCCTACATCAACATGTCAGTCAATCTTTTATTCCTTTTAGTAGATATGACAAATGATTCAATTATATTATAAAATGATTACCATTTACATTTGACATCACGGTATACATGTACCGTGTTTCAAAGTACTATTTACTAATGGACATTGACATTAGAAGGAACCCGTTATAACATAACGTCAAAAGAATCTTTACGAGCATGTTGAAGAATGCTGTGTATATTGTCAAACAAAAACACATTTTTTAAAAACTTTATAGCCAACAAACTTTGCATCGTATGTGCTAAAAAAAAATTGGTTTAATACCTAACTATCTTTTAATTTTTTCATAAAAATTAGTACTGTACTAGTAATAATTCTATAAAATTCAAATGCAGTTTTTATGTAAATATTTTAAATTGTATGCAAGAAAATAATTCATTTCAAAATGTGAGCACAGTTATTTCTCTTGTCTTTATAAACTCGTAACATATTTTCATAATATAATATATAATTTTTTATCGACATTTTGTAGTACTTATAATTTAGATTGAAATTTTTCAATCAAATTTCCTCTTCTGCAAAAATATATTCTTTACAAAAAGAGGTCACACAGGCCAGTGTGTCACTGCTTTTGACTTCAGTTTCACGTTCAAGTTGGTGACACACCTACGAAATCGTTCGTTTGTTTCTTAAAAACGTAGGTATTGTATTTTTATTTTTATTATATTTTTTATAGAAAAAAAAGAGAAAGATTTTCTTCAAGAATCGGTATTCAATTCATTATGCATTAAAATTAATCAAGAATTAACAAAAAATAATGTATCTTTAAACACACGGAAATAATAAGAAAAAATTACATTCTTATGAATATTTTTATATTAACATGTGAAATATGTAATAAATGTGATGTAATGTTACAATCTTTTATCATCTATTAACAAAACGATCAATAAAAAGATTCTCAAGAATATCGTAATGTGCATTTTAGGGAAAAGAAAGGAAAGAGAATAAACTTTAATTATTCTTTTACAATTTTATTTTTCTTATCACTATGTAGTTATGTGCGAATACGCACATACACGTACGTACGCATACATACGAATGAGAAATAAATAACATAATATTAAACATGCAGCTCGGTTTTACTGAACGTTTTACTGATTATCAATATTTACAAAAAATTTTGTTCCATTTGCACTCTTATTTTATTGAAATTTATTCATACACATGGTATCATAGTTACAAGCGATACTTGAAAACCTGATGATATAGTATTTCTCTTATGTGATATCCATAAAATTTTGAATTCTGTCGAAATAATATCTTTCTTCTAAAAGTCAGTCCATCCAAAATCGTCTATCATAATATAAATTTAATTGACTTCCGCAAAAACAATTTTCATAAAGAAAAAAAAGGAAGGTATGTTCTGTTTAACCTAGACCTACAATTGTTCACGAGGCTTTGCTTTCCGTGAACTTCATCTGTGGCACCCCGAGAAGTACCTCCGGTATTTAACGCACACCACTCGGAGTCGTACGCGCGCATGAATCAAATACATATGAATCATACAATATGCAGGAAATACGTTCGACGTAGATACGGATACACAAGTCGAACGCCGTGACATGAACGATGGTCCGTTACATTAATGTGACTTTTTCGTTCATATATAACGTAAGAACGTAACGGTCGAGTTGCCGCGGACGAGTGCACGTTGCGTATCGATCGCCTATCCTGTAGCGATGCGCGATGTGTCGCTTCCGATTCGCGTTTCCTATTGTGTTGTGGAGCCCAATTGTTGTCACTTTATCGCTTGCCATCAAAGTCAAGTGTGCCTTTTTATTATTCTATACCTTAAGCCTTAAGACATACACAATATTTATTCTTGCAATAAAAATATTAAAAATTGTAATAGTATAAAAAATGTATTCTTTATGAAAAAAAGAGTCAGTTTAGGTCAGACTAGGCTTCTCAAAGATTCGCGTTGGAAAGTCCGATGAAAACTGTACCACCCCGAGAAGCTAAGATTAATCCTATCGATGAACACGTGATGGGTCGAGAAAAGTGTATCGAAGAAGGGAAAGGGTGAGAGCAAAATTTACCAGATGTAACCATCATTTGAGGCTTAAAATATATGTCGACGACAAGTATGATGACTGGGCTCTCGCCGTATATCGTTCGCGAGTCAATAACGGTCTTCGATCGGCTCGTGCATGGGTCGCATGTGTGTGTATATACACGAATACAGAGCGGTCAAGGTAGACGCACGGACGCATAACAGCGATACTTGAGTTGGCTTGTGAACGCGTTTGAGCTACAAACTGGGCGCTTGTCCAAATCTGTCAGTAGGTCAGTAGAGGGGCCATCGTACTCGGTCGAGTGACCTTGACCACGAATGGTCCTCCTGCCACAGAATGGTCATCTCTTTTGCGATTTGAAATTTGAGAAAAAATGATCTACGAAAAACAAGCACGACAAATACTTTTGGGGTGTCAAAAATTGTTAGATACTTTGCACTATATTGTGATCATATTATATTGTTGTCATAATTAGAAAACGAGCGAAGATAATTCAATTTGGGTTACATGAATGATCTCCACACTTGACATGCTGACTATACTGTAATTTAATTACTTTACCATAAATATTTATAATTCAATAGTGCCAATAAAAGGTAATGTAACTGCATTTTTTTGGTAGTTTTACATTCAGTTGTATAAATAATTTTCTAGAAAGTTACAGTTTTGCAGTTGTAATATCTTTCATTAATATAACATCAAGTTATTGAATAAATCAAAACTAATCAGTAACGAATATATCACCGATATCATCTTGCTGTAAGATTAACAATAAATAATATACGACAAGAGATAGACGATAGAAAGTTGTAGAAATTAATGTTTTCTTTAAAAAAAATTAACAGGTATTTTACGCTCTTTTGCGTTCCCGTTTATTTAATAAGCGAATTTTAAGAAAAAGCCGGATATATTCTCAACATCGTATCCTTTCTCAAAACTCGCGCGAGTTGCAAAGGTTAAAATATATCAATACATTCCTAAAATAACGGTAAGCTATGTGAAAGTTATTTCACGAGTGTTCTTTGCTAGAATAAGCTAGAATAAGCCGAGATAAGCGTAGCGTTTGGCGACGTTCATTCAGTACATATCCATTCACCGTGATTGCCATGAGTAATTTTACAGGAATTACTAAGATCATACACGGATCACAATTAGATTAATCGTAATTGCACTACTTGTTGAAGTGTTATTTCGCGTGCTTCGATGTAATAGACTCGCATCTGTTCCTCGCCTTCGAAAGATTATCAAAAGATAACAAATACGATATTCTTGTTGATGGTCACGATCGAATTACTCTGGAATATTTTCACCCGTAAGGATTGCGAAGTATTTGATAACTCGGATATCCCAACTGATAATCGTTTCTATGCCAATTACTGTCGTCCTGTCCGTATCCTGTAAAAGAAATGTCAAAATGCATATATTACATATTTATAATATTTTTAACAAGTAAATACATACGTAAAAATCTTTATTGAGATTTGCAAATTTTTTGTGAGAAGATTCAGTTATTATTAATGTCAAATGTTTGTGATATGTGACATGACATTAAAAATTTTAAAAGAAATATTAAGTATAAATATGTCAAATATAAAACACTATCATAACGTACTGTCAGCTGTTTCAAATGTAGTACTTGTTGCTGTTGGCTAACATTAAATATGTTTATGCCAATATAAATACATCATATGTATTAGTTTGTAAAGATGTATCAGCTGTTATAGCTCTGAGCGACGTTATCTTAACTTAGCCTACATAACATACAATATAATCGTGCAAACTATCGCAGGTCAATTATTTTATTTGATAAGAAAATTTTTTTCATACATTAGCATACATAACACAACAATGTAAAATACACAAAAAATTGTTATTATAAAACAAATTTCTAATATTATTTTTAAACATAAATATATAACAAATAAAAGAATCACAACTTTGAAATATTCATTACTCCTCGCATCGTTCGTGTTATTTAAAACTTTACGAAATATAATAAATACATGTTTACATATAGTTTGGTATATAATTTGCTTAGAAGGCATAGTATTTTTGTCAAAGAAAAAACAATATTTTTAAAATAATCTTACCCGTTGGATAATCTGCTGTTGCGTCTGCTGCAGTAGACCACAGATGAAAAGGATGTGCATGATGCGCATGAGGGTGTTGCACTTTGCAAATCTTTAAATGCGCGAATACTGATGGTAAAATTAATGATCCAAGTACGAGAAGTTTTTTGATAAAATGAACTCCTAGGAAAATTGGTAACAGCAATAGTTTCAGTTTTATTAAATTTAATAATATAAGAATGGGGAAGATTATATTTTTCTTCTTTTTAAAAATTCGCCAATCTCCTGTAAAACGAATAATTTATAAATTTTCTCTTTCTCGAAAATTGTCAAACATTATTACAGACTATGCAACTGTTGACATCGTTGCCGTTATAAGAAATATAAGGTAGTAAACTCTGCCATTTCGCCATTCATCGCTTTTTTCAAATATATAGCACATTATAGCAGATTGCATAGCTTTTGCAGTGATTACTTGTTACGTATGTAACGTTCACCGTTATCCGAAATAAAGTATAATAGAAGCTATAATTACGCTCGGACACATGAAAATCCGTTATATAGAACAGTAAGTACACCTTTTCTTTGTTATTGCCAAGAGATCGATATATCATTATAATAATTTTTAGGAATTTTCCAAAACTTCAAGAAAAAATTAAGCGCACTCTACAGTATTGATCATCAGTTTATTATATTTAACATAGATAAAAATATTCGATCGAGTAACAAGAAAAAGAAATTTGTTAAAAAATAATATAAGAGAAAAAATTGTCAAATATTTTATTATTTGGCAGATCTAATAAGATTTTACCTTCTGGTTCTTTGCTATTCTTTAGCCGGTCAAGTTCATCCTCATCCATAAACATCAAACTCGAGGAGAAGTCTCTGGCATCTCTGGCAACTGCCGAATTGTCTATCGTATATACAATGGCACGTTTTGTCAATAAATCCTCTACACTATCTCTAACAAAATTCAGAGCTTCCGTTATACCACTTTTAAATGCTTGAGAACGTGGCAAATAGGGCAAAAAGGATTGCTTGTAAATCGATGGTATCCTTATTATTCGAAATGGCCCATAACCAAATTCCTAAATTATAACAATTTGCTTTTGTTAACTAATTTATACTAAGATATGTATAATTCTCTTTTAAAAATTATAAATTTATGTACGTTTATATACATTATACACATTTTTATACTTGTTACCGTATATAATAATATATTATCAATTTTACAGTTATTTACGTTTCTATCTCTAATTAATTTTTCAAATTTTATTATAATTCTATTAATTAAATCAAAAGTATAAAAATAATAAATATTAAAAATTGAATATTCGAATAACTTATTATAAAAATTAGAAAACAAATTTACGTATACATTTAATTATATCTTGTTACAATTAACATTATGCAATGTGAATTATTTATTTCTAATTTTTTAAATATAATCAAATTTTATGTAATCACAAACAGCAAACACGTACCTTTTCTCTCACTATTGTATTTAACCATTTCGCGACTTTATATTTGCCACAAGTTGTATAATCTCTCTTTAAATGGCATTCCATTTCACATTTTTGAACAAAAAGATCCGTTGTATTATCAAAAGCCAATGAATGAGTCCGTCGTGCGCAAATAATCAACAAGATAAACATCCAGCACGATACTTCAGTCACCCTTGGATATCCGATTTTGCGAGACCACTCAGTAACTCCGAAATGTCCGCACTTCATAATTTAGATCAATATGACGATTTAATTTTACACTATTGATTTGAATTTTGTTAGTTTTGATTAACTGGTTTATATTTCATTGCAGAAAGTAGCGACAATCACCAGTCTTGCTTCGAATTTCTGTATAGTCATTGTTATCGTTACTCACGATGGTTACATCAATTATACGAATCGTCGAGATGCATCGCGCATCGAAAGTGAATGCCGTAATTAATCAAAGAAAATCATAAGTTATAAGATACGAAAGATTATCGCATAATATCGCGCACTCTTTTCACAGAATGATGCAGGATGATGCACGTTACAGAAAGTCAAGATTAGGTGCACTGACAGTGGTTAGAAGGTGTTCTGACCATTTATACGGCGTGCATTTAGGTCGGTGGGGGTAACGGTCCATGGCTTAGATAATGCTGTACAGAGATTGCTCCTGCATTCTACACCGTACAACGTCTTGAGAGACACTCGAGAACTCGCTGATGGTCGCTGGCTGGTCGTGGAAATTCCATGTAATGACAATGAGACAAACTCAACGCACCATAAAATTCGTGATACATTAAACCGGATCTTTTAAAACTGAGAAAAGAGTATTAGAAGGATTATCTAACAATATTATTGCAAAGACACTCTTTGCAGTAGATTTATTAATATTCTTCGCAAATTATTTTCATGCTTTTCTATATTTAAAAAAAGAAATAGAAAAAATATTTGTATTTAATGAGCATTTGTGTATTTGTATATAAAAAAACAATACTGTTTTAAAAGACCGCAATTTAATTGCTCGATAGATCCATTAGAACCGAACATCTTAGAAAGAATACGTCCTTATTTTTGACAAGAATATAATTTTAACAGTATATTACAGTTGCACGACTGTCGGCCTAATACGTACCTAACATAAAATCAAATATTTTACAAAGACTTCAGGCTTAGCTGCAGGAAGCGTGATGATATAATATAATCATACTATATTAAACATTGTATGTAACATTTTCGTTTTATATTACGATTAGCAAGCGAGAAATTCTATATCGAATTCATAGAAAGGGAGCAAACGGCTACACGTGTGATGAAAATCGTGATAACAATTACTATCCTTCCGTTAGCCGTTTTATAATAGATCTAACAAAGGGTCTTCTCCGCGACATTCTCCTCCACATAATTGCGACATTCCTCGCGGCTGGTAGAAACACTACATTTTCTGGTGCACCCACCCGCAACGGCCGCTCAGTTTTTTAACGTAGATAATCACTGGTAACATTATAATTTATAAATTATCTCTTTGTATAGCGGAAATTAAGCAATATTGGGCACACTAATTCGTTTTTTGAGAAAACATGCAGATGTTGGCTAGTACAATTTAAAATTATATTACATACAATTCGTATAATTTTAACGTTGAATCTCATTTATTTTTTCTTAAGCAAACAAATATCACGATCTCAATAATCTTTCTGTTCTAAACTTAATCAAACATTTAGAATTTCTCATGAATTTAAATGTAGAAAAATGTAAGCAATTTAATTTAAGATAATAAAATATCATACTCAGATTAATTTAAGATTTTAATTTTGTAAAAAAATTTAGTGTCAAGAGATCTAAAGAAAATGAGTTTTTACAATAAAAAAATATTTAAAAAATATAAGGAAATGTATACATAATGTTATAAATTGACTATTATATAATAGCCAGCAACAAAATGCGATAGAAATCATTAACAAGAAGCGAATGATAGAAGGCGATTGATTGACCTATTAACGCTACTGCAGTCTTCAAGTGGAATCAGGATATTATATGCACACGCGTTAGCGGTGCAGCCTCTTTTCCGTAACCGGTTTGCACAACAGTCGTTTGCTTTACTTTGGCCTTGGCCATAGAACTGTTTAAAAATCCAGTGCAATTTTTAAAAACTGTTTTTCCTTTTTGATTAATATCTAATTTTCTCAACATGTTTGATTTATTTTAAAACACGACTTATAAGCAAACATAGTTCGAGTAACATACCGTTAACATAAAGTAAACAAATAAGAGTAAATAATAAAAAAACATCTGTCACTGGTTCTTTAAAAATCTAAATCTCTGTATTATGCGTATTTAATTCTATGACTTTTATAATACACGACATTTTTTACTTGAAATTATAGGCGTGTTTTAAATTGAGCTATAAATATATTTATACATCTATTTTATATTACTCATGGCAATACATTTACTATCGACAGTTTTTTATTGATCAGGTTTTAATAATTAGCCATAATCGTTACGTTATAAATTATGTATAACTTAGATAGTCATTGCATAGAAGAACTTTCATAGAAAGTTAAAAACTGGAAAATCTTCGCACGCATCAAGCGTAAAACCTGTAATTATTAACTCTGGATTTTATTCGTAATAATGTATGGTATTTTCTAGACGCTTCTATGCTGATAATTCGACGGATGAAAACGGAAACTCTTACAACCGGAAGCGCTCGTAAAACTTATTTTTCGGGTCACGAAAGAAACACGATTCGTTAACCCACTATGTTCAAGCAATAAATTTTTCATGCTGTATACAGAGCTAGTGGACATCAACTTACTCCACTAGCCTGGAAACTTCATCTATCGCATCTGTATGGAGGAATATGGAGGAAAGATTGTTTTTTGTGCACCAACAGGGTTGTAATGGTCAAGAGTGGATAACAAACATGTCATTCATCGAGTATGTCAAGCACGTACGTATGTGCGCACCTGCTTTCACTCGCGGTTACAGAGCAATGCAAAAAAGATGCACGATGCTTGCCGTTCATCGACGTCTGCACCGAGGCTTACGAGGCTTACGAGGCTTACGAGGCTTACGAGGCTTACGAGGTTTACGAGGTTTACGAGGTTTACCAAGCAAGAAGAAGACGTCGCGCCACGGGCGAGCCTAGTGGGCGAAACGCATGCTTGTTGGTTTGCAATATAACCTGTTTACTCTTTTGCCCGGTTGACCCAGTACGTCGACAGGATATGAAGTGGTAATATCGCTGCAACCGATTACCGATCTCGATATTCCAGCTTGTTACACATTCTCGTTTGGAAAAGAGATTCTAGAGAGAGGCGCAAAGAAACTGTCTGCGACACTGAGAAAAAAAATTGTTGACTCAACTAAATTGGCGGTCATGGGCTGTCAAGCAAATATTTTGTTAGTCGAAATATTAATGTATTTGAGTCAAATACGCGGTAGTACATTGAACAATGACTTATTTATTTCGACAGGACCTATTTTTGAATTAACAAAATATTTGCTTGACAGCCCGTGACCGCTAATTTAGTTGAGTTAACAATTTCTTTTTCTCAGTGGAGATCAATATATATTTTCTTTAACATCATCAATCACAAATCGAACTTCGTTAATTGAAGTCTAGTGATTAAAAATTTATAAGTGTACACTATACAGAATGTGAACTTGTCGTCGTTTATTTTAGAAAAAGTATGAGAGATTAAAAAAGAAATGTTTATAAAGAAAAAAAGACACGTTTGTCATCCAAGTATACAGTGTTCTAGAAAATAATTACTTTATTAAGAATTTATAACAGCATTATACACTATATATCTTCGCGATAGAATGCAAATAGAAATTTGCAATTCGAAATACATATATTGTTAACACAGTTTTATGTTCCATAATTTAGATCTTTTTAAAAATAAATGATATATTCAATTTCCTTAAATACATCTCTGTTTGCAAACAGAGATTCTGCGGTTATAAGTGAGTTACTTATTTTAACAAATTGTCAATAAATCACACATTTCGACAATCTCATAATAATCAAGATCTGATATCAAAAATGAAGAAAGAGTGAACACGCAAGCATACGAGACTTCACAGATATTAACCTTGATGCTGATGCACGTTTACAATAATGTTATAAGCAATTTATTTCATTCTACGTTAAAAGCCGCAACCAATCGTTAATATTCGTCTGAACGCGCGAGATTTATCTCAGTAGGCTTATAGTTAGTTACGGTTACTTTGTGACATTTACGGCCTATTTCATGAAGATTATTTTATGCACAGTTATAGTACAAACAATGGCAGACAAATGTCATATAAATATTAGATATTGCTAAATACCCATTTTTCATCGAATAGAATGCATTAAAAAAATGTCTAAGGATCATTTTAAAAACGATATGAAAAAATTGTTAAAAATACTGATAAAAAATTAACTTATATCAAAATGAAATATTTATAAAAATAAAATCGCTTTTACATATAATATTTTCACGGAAAAAATATTTTTATAAACTAGTTTCGTAACAAAAATCTCTTTATATATTAAATCGGATAGAATATATACTATATAATAGTTATAAATAATAGTTACATATTTTGACCTGGGAAGTATACTTATTTTTAAAATATATATAACAGTTATATATATTGCAAATATAACTATGATATTTATTCATATTGTGTGTCGCATATTATTTTAATGAATATTATTAATTCATGTTCACAACTTATTAAGTCACATGAAGTAAACACGTATTTGAAGTCACATACAGTGACTAGTTCGTGACTAGAGAAATGCTTCGAATTAACCTGGAAGAGCATCGATTAAGGCCTTTGACTGTCATCAACATTTGTAAAATGATAAACCACAAATTGTCGTACAACAATCGTATATTATAAACAGAAGATGCACATTTTCTCCGAATTCTCACGGTCGAATCAGAAAATCAAGGTACATATTTTTCATTTCCATGTTTAATTTATTCTTAATACAAATCTACTATTACATTCGCAACGCATATAATAACACATTATTAAAATTGGAACTAAATAGATTTATTAATCTAATTTATGATTTCTTATGTACAGGAAAAATAGCGTAAATATAAATTTTATAATATCTGATCAAACTGGATTCGCTTATTAATATTCACAACAACAAAATTGAAATCATTAACATTTGCCATGGTATTGTAATCGCATGACATTATTGAAATAAAAACTATGTCACAAAGTCTCATAGA